AATCTAGTAAAATTCATTTTAAGCAAAACTTCGTTGTATCAAAAAAAAAATTTGTTATAGAGAAAATTCATTATAAAGAGAGTCATTTTATATATAAATTTTTCTGACTTTAATTTGTTAAACGTAATACGAATTTTTAATTACTAAATTTGGTATAGTAAGGGTTTTTTTTATTTAAAATCTGTTCGACAATGAAAATCCGTTGTATTGTAAAATTCGTTATATCAAAATTCATTGTAAAAAGAGTTGACTGTATACCTAAATCGGAAGTTATGCCATAAAAGTGAATAATATTATCATGAAAATCAACTTCTTGTTGAAATTTAATCTTAAAAATGAATCAGATTATAAATATTAAATAAAATAAAAAATTTGCATTATATAATCACATGTTTCGATGTATTTAACAATTTACAAGTACGTCTGAAATCTTTGTTAAGCCACAGCGTATATATAAATGTGAAATACAGTTAAGTCAAACTTTACAACCAAAACCTCATTTAACATTCTAAGTAAACTTGCAGAGCGAGCAAAATTACACTCATTCATAAATTTTAAAAGTTCAAGTAAAGTTTAATAAGGTATAAATTTTGAAAAGAAAATTTTTCATAAAAAATTGTATGGCGAATCGATTCATTTTATATATCTGGAATAACCTGTCACATTACATTAAAATCAAGTAAAGTATTTACCTTGTGAACGATTTTTTCAACTGTGACAATATTGGAGTTAAACGATTTCAGCAAAATCTTTATGTAGACTTTTCTAATTTGCACGATAGACTTCTCTAAAACCACCACTTTCAACCTTTCAAAAATTATAAAAGAGTTGTAGTCGTAATGCTTAATATGACTTTTAAAAATAGCCTCTTCAATCCAGCCATCTAAAGGATCAGGTGTCTGTAACGGATTATGTGAAGGATTATTATTTTCCATAGCTTTATTTTGAATAAAAAATTATAATTTGAAATTTTTAGAAAATTATTTTGATGGGTTTTTTATATATCTTCTTCTTTTTATACAAGAAATTTAAATGAGATGACGCAATAGCATAGCCATCATACCTTTTATAACCTATAACCTGATAGTTAATTACACAAATATATTTTTACTTTAAAAAATAAACCTGATGACAAATAAGTCACATGATTCATGTGACAAATATGATTCTATTGATTCTATTGATTTGCATAAATATTTCATCTTTAATAGGAAATTTGAGGTGTCTAAGCCTCGATTTGCAATCTGAATACAAAAAAATAAAAATTGCCTTTTTTTATAAACTGATTAGTGTACTCTGATTGAGTGAGACGGTGTTGGCATTTTAGTTTTTATGATTTTATAATAATAAATAAAAATAGCTTTTTTTAATTTTAATTTAAATAATATTTTATTATTTAATAAAGAATTTAAAACTAAATATTATTTATATTTATTTATTGATGATAATATTATAATTCATTTATTAACAAATCATAAATGTTGGAGATTCTAATCCTTCTGAAAAAATCTGTAAAAGAGATCACTTTGCATCTTGATTAGTTGCTAGATGGTTAGTAATTTCAATTTCTTCACTTTCAAATTCTTCATCATCTAAAAGATTAAACCAATCTCTAATAATTATATTCCACTGATTTACTAACTCAATAGGATCTGTTTCTAAATTAGATGTATTATCAATTTCTTCTTCAGAATCACTTTGAGTTTATATAACAATATTAATATTTTGCTTAATAGCATTGTTTTCTCCTCATAATTGACTCATTGAAAGAACCTTTTGATATTAAAATATATAAAAATTAAAATATTAATATCTTATTATATTAATTATTATATAAAATAAAATATATTACTTATTCCTAATTTATTACGTCTTTTTGAATGAAGAAATTCCATTATTGAGAATAATCTTTCAAGAGAAGCACTATTAATACAAATTCCAAATAATCTTAATGTTATATTTGCAATTTCATTATGAGTATCACGTGTAATAAATTGCCAATATTTAAGAATATTACCATTAAATTGATCAAATGAAACCAAATCAAGTGGTGAATTTTTTTGAAAAATAATCTTCTAAATTCAATAAAATATTTGTTGGCTTTATATTAAACCAATTAGTATAATAATAAACAAGCTATTTTGCAAGGTTTGGTGTAGATAAACCAGATAATCGAATATTAAGTTTTTCAAAACTATAAGATAAATATAAAAGCCATAATAAAATAAGTAATAGTTGTTCCCATTGATTTTATCATTTTTCAAGTCATATTAACATATGAAATTGAAATGAAGAATCAGACTTCTTTTATATTGTACTTAACATTCATGCATATGTATGCATATATCATATAATCGAGCAGATTCCTTTTGTAATTTATTTAATGCAACACAAAATAGTAAAAGAAGTTTATCTAATTCTTTTAAATTAAGCCAAAATATTGAATCATTGATTATATTAGAAATTGCAAGTGGAAATCTTTTATTATTAGGATCTAATGAATTTTCTAAAGTAGTTACAAGTGTCTAAAAAAAATTATAATAAAAATTATTATTATATTATTTAATTAAAGTTTTACATCTAAATAAAAAAATATACATACTGTTAACACGCTTTTTGATTTTAAAATATTATAAAAATAATTATAATAGCTGTTTTATCTTGTATCATATGGTGATCTTAATGCAATAAGTTTTCCTTAATATAAACTTTTTTGATGATTGTGTAATTAACCTAAAAAATATGTTGATTCATTAAAGCATCTGACTATTTTAATAGTCATATTTGAAATTTCTTTATATCGAGAAGAACCCTTAAATATATCACTAATATAAAGATTTGCTTGATAAGTAAAATATAGAATACAATATTGGTGTATTGTATTTGTAATTCTTTTCTAAAAAAAATTAAAATTAAAAAATTTTTTTATTAAATAAATAATAATTATTATTAATTACTAAATTAAATAAACAAATTTAATTTATAAAAAAATTTATTTTAAAATTAAATAAATAGTATAATAATAAAATTTATATAATTCTGATTTTATATTAAACTTATTATTCAAATCTGATATATTTAAATACATTATAAACATATTACTATTATATAGTATATACCTTAATTTTACATTTTCTACAGTAGAATCAGAAATTACACAAATAGGAATTATTTGCTTAATTAAAAGATCTTTATATATTATTTTATAAATGCATTAATTTCAATTACACAAGTCCTTTTAATACTTATATCTTTAGCCTTCCATACTAAAGTTTTTTCTTATGAGGTAATAAGTATTATTTTCATTAGCTTTTATTTATTTTTCTAATTATCAAAAGCTAATGTAATACCAATTTTATCTTCTTTTGCAATATGTTTAATTTGTTCTTTTGTTTGAGTACTTTCTCTTTTAAGAATTGAACCACCTAATTTTCATCATAATGGTAACTTGACAGTTAGATTAGTAAGTTTAAATGCTGCTATAATATCCTCATCCTCAATCTATCTAAAAGAAGAACCAGCCATTATAGTATCATATACCAAATACTTTTCAAATTATTGTAGAATAGTTTCAGAAGGGGATAATATACAAATTTTGTTACTTTCACTTGTGATTCTATTAAATAAAAAATAAAAAGTTAAAAAAAGAGTTTATAAATTAAAACAATCTTATATATAAAAAATATTAGCATTTATTTTTTTTTATACAGACATGTTTTGTAGTTAGTTCAGAAATTTCTATTTCTGAATGATCATCATCATCATCATTAGAATCTAAAAATATAATTGCTAATTCTTCCTTTGAGTATTGGCTTAAAAAGTATGAGCATTTTTTAAGATGATTTTTACAAAGTTTTGGAGTATTCATTAACTCTTTATAAAGTCTGTTAGAATTTGCATTATAGCAAGTTAAATAAAGGTATGTTTTATTACTTGCATTTATAAGCTTCGGTAATATTTTAAAATATTTTGTATATACATGAGGATTTTGACTATTAAAAATGTAATCTATTATGCAAAATATACAAAAAAGTAAAGAGGGATAAGTGAAATACAGTATTTTACTTTATACATTTGAAAGAACATTATACAAAAGTGAAAAAAGTAGATCATTGTATATTTTAAAATAAGTACAGTTGAATCTCTCTATAACGAATTTTTATATTCCGAATTTTTTGTTATTGTGAATTATATGAGTGGTCCTGAAT